TTTTAAATTCTGTTGATTAGACTTAGCTTTATATGCGATCAATGTTATGGATCTTTGATCGCGTATAAAGCTGGGTCTAATCAACCAAATCTTAAAAAATTAAATAAGTCTTGCCATTCCTGTATGTAAATGCAGCGTCTATATTTGACGGAAGCTCCTTCCACGTGCTGCTAATACGTCTAGGATAGCCGCTGGCCACACCGTTGTCCGTTAATTTTTAGTAATGTTTTCCTGGAAATTCCACAGTAGTATATCAGCATTCTCACCTCTTTGCTAGTCTCGCGCGCGCAGCAACTCTTTGCTAGAGAATCCAAACGCTAAACACTAATGAAAGATTACAACTCGTAGTACGTACCTTTGAACGCAATTATCTCGCCGTCTTTTGTGTTGAACATCGCGTCGACCTTGGGATCTTTACACAGTTCAGGATCTTCTTCGGCAGGCGGCAAAGGTCGCGATCCTCGCGACGTGCTCTTCGTTCCATATAGAGCCTGAAATAAATTTCGTATCGCTATTCGAGAAGCACGCTACATCATCCATGGATCCACAAATGTAACTCATAATAGGAGATTTCGGTCGTCTAACGGGCGTACCTGAATCGCGCTGACATCGTCCTGATCCAGGATAAAGTGTGGATCGTAGCCGCGGTAAAAAGGTGCCATTAGGACACTCTTGACATCGCTGTGACTTAAGCCGAGCGAGTGCCCGAATTCATGAGCCGCGACTTGAAAGAGATTGGTACCGCAATAGCTTTTGATGGTCCATCGTTCAGCGTCGTCGAAGTGAGCATCACCACCGTACACGGGAAAATACGCGTGCGCCAAGGTGCCGCCAGGTCCATCGAAAGGATCACCGTCGCCGTGCTCGCCTACTTCGAATCTGATTTCGATGTGAACCTAAACGCGAATTAATACACCTTTTCTTAGAAAATATTACCCGCGTCGAGTGATGACATGAGTAAGTGGATATATACATATATGTATCTCGATTGTATGAGCCCCTTACATTTTCATGTCCTGTTTTGCGGGTAAATGTCAGATCAGTTTCACCCGACCGGGTTCAATGGCCGTCAATATGGCGCGTATGGATTTTTCAAATGATTACGGTAGCGATCAGCAGCGATCGCTGCATTTTTCATGTTAGTTGCGACCGCAAGTTCTCCATACCGATTAGAATATGTATTTTAGAATGTGTCGTCAGTGACGGATATTTTGGTTCTATGATTTGGGAATTGTTATACGTTACATTTGGAGAATTGAATAGTAAAACGCGCTCGTCGAGGAGTAATTAGAAGAATTTCACGTGTCCTTGTCCCATTCGCTCCGTCGATGCGTTATCATATCCCGTTACCTTTCCAGTCACGATAAAGTAGAAATCTATGCTTCGTATGGCGCGTACGAAGCGTAACTTAGCGCGTAGCGACGATAACTTTCGAGTCTCGTATTATTCATATTCCATTTTTATATTTTGTACAAGATTATATAAGATACGAAATTGGGTTTTATATAATTATTAACGAGAGAGACCACGCGTAGAGTTTATTCATGCAGGTTTTTGGAGCAGTCTCCTTACAGTAAGTCATATAAACAATGTACGCGTCTACGAGCGCTATCCGTGGAAAAGTCGCACAGAAAGATCGCGATCGTATGTTTAAATTTGTTCCATTGCCGAAAATATCGAATTAAAAAGCGTGGCGAGTGTCGCGCAGGGTCGTGCAGGGCCGCGCTGGGCGGCCGCGCGGATCGCACGCTTGCGCAACGCTCGGGCCAGTGGTTCTCCGCGGGCGCGACACGACACGTCATTCGTCGCGCGTCTTCCGAGCGCGGCTGTCCGCCGGTCCGCACGCGAGGCGCGCCCGTTCGTACGCCCTTCGTGGGCCGCAGACCACGTGGTTAACGCGCGCCGTTTCGATTCCCGATCGCGCGGCGCGCGTGAACCTTCGAAAGCCGACCGCGTGCACCCCCTTCGAGTTTCGCGTTCGCGACTACGTCGTTCCTCGCGGGAGTCGCGGGTAAAATCGTCGACGGGCGAGGGAAGTAGTAGCAAACCTGACGAAATTCGAATTCTCGACGAGCGCGAGTGACATGCCGGCGAGGAGCGGCTATTGATCCCCCGTGTCCCCCCCCCGTCCACGTTCGCAAGTGCGTGCCAGTGCGGTGATATGTCCAGGAGGAAGCAGGCGAAGCCTCGATCTCTCAAACGTAAGTCCACTATTATCGTCATTATATTTGTTTAGTACAAATATTCGATATTATTGGTCACTCCGTCAATATTATTGATCACAGTATACATAGGTATATCATTGATAATACATAGAAAGCGATAGGAAGTATTAATGACCGAACATGCGATGTAAACAGATTACTGCACGTAACAGCTATTACTAGTTTTATCTATCGTTGCCAGAAAAAAACATTCTAATAACAAATTTAACATATTTAGAACGTGATCAATGTAAATTTCACGCAGTTTTGAAATATACGGCATTAATTATTTTTATCTTTAGAAAATAAGTACTTGCGCGTTTATAAATCTTGACCATAAAACTTACAAATCAAAATGAATTAAAATACGTCGTGTGCGTACGGTAATGCTTTGAAATAACGGATAGTTCTAATACTAAAAACCTTTTCGATTCATCGCACGAAGGAAAGGGAAAAAAAGGAAAGAGGGAAGTTTTCGCACGGCAAAATATAAACGGGAGAAAAAACAAGATAAAACAAACGTGAGGATCTGCCGTCCCTAGGTGACGGCGGCTTTACGAAATTAACGTTCATGAGCTCTCACATTTGTGTCACAAAGATACGCGAATAATAGCAAAGTTCGTCGCAAGGTGCTTGTCCGTGTGAAAGCGTCGTTGTGTGGAGAACGAAAAAGAAGTCTTGGCTAAAAGGGTGCTTCGTGAAACTTCCAGACACGTGCAACCGTGCCCCGACATAAAAGTAACGTACGATACGAGTGCCAAAAGCCGCTATTGTTGCAGAAAGTCTACCGTAACGCTGTAGTAATTACAAAAACGGCCGAATTATCCAAGTAGCTTTAGAACTTGAGAATTCTACTGTTTTTAACGAATTATGTACATTTGCATTCCACGACCGTGCACTGTAATATTATATTTTATTTTGGCGCAACACAGGACGAAGCGCGGTTTGTAGTATAATTAAAAAAAGATGAGTATACTTAAACGATCTAGAAAAAAAATTTTTTTGTACGAGACATTGATTAATAATCTTAATTAATTTTTTAAATCATGGCTCTTAAAATTAAAAAACATACAATTGCTCGCTTCGCGAAAACTTTATTTTTGGCAATTGTTCACCTAACAGTATCAATTATCGAGTAACGCGGTATCTGTCAATTCGTCACGGTGAATAGCGAAAAACGGAGACAAATAGAACGGTGAAAACCGCCAAACTTCTGCTCCAGCATCACGAGAATGTTGGATTGTTGGAACAGGTCGAGAGCATATGTGCAACCGAATAACTGAAATACAATTGTCATAAAAAGTGATAGATAAAGGAGAGAAATTGGTGAGACAAAGAGGGTGAACGATGAGAAGGAGGCGAATCATAAATGCAGGATAAAGACCGAGAGAAATGCAAAAAGTGAGATAAATAAATGTGAAAAGAGAAACGACGAGAGGAAGAAAACGTGTGTTCGAGGGGGGAAAGAGAGAGAGTTGAGGGTTGATCAAACGCGGAGGATAAAAGGAGGACGGAGCGTCTCACTATAAAGGATAGAAAGGGAAAGAGAGGAAGAGACAGAGCAGGACATCAGCAGACGTGAACGGTTGCAGAAGCAGAAAGAGAGGCAATAGGTACACGGGGTAGATAGAGAGGAGGATGATAGAGGGAGAGGAGAGTCAGTAGTCAGCCAGGATGGAATTAGGTGGAAGCCCGCGGGAGACCGGCGCTCGTCCTCGGGGAATCCCCGGCCTCTGTAATCACCAGTTCGCCTATCCTATCCAATTCTGGTCGCACTCCTCTCGTCCTCCTCGTCCTGCATCTCCTTTCGCGCGCTCATCTCGCTCCTCCAGCTTTCCGACCTCTCTCTCTCTCTCTCTCTCTCCCTCTATCTGTACCATTTCCACCAGCGATTTCTCTCCTCTCCTTTGAGCCTGCCGTTTCTTCGAGTCTTTTTCCGTTTTTACTCCGCGCGCAACAGTTCCTCATCCGTCTCATCTTTATTTTAAAATTTCTTTTTTCGTATATAGTCGTCTTTTTTTTCAAGTCCTTATTGTCAAAAGAAATTGTTCAATTCTTGGACAAGGAATAAGAAAAGTAGAGTACATAAGTTCAGTTGTCGACATGATTTCATATTTAAAGTGGATTTTATGAATTATAGACTCGATCAGTTCTAGCTGTAAACGCTTCAAAAATGCGATTTACGACCACGAAGATCTCACAGGCTCGCGATGGCTATATGCAGGATCGTGTATATGGTACAGCGCGGCCCTTTTTCCACCGAAATTGCGACCGCGCCGCGATACTCGTATCATTTCTCGTTTGTTGGCAGAATTGACGATTGAGCGGAAACGAAAGTTTTCACATTGTTCGTTTCGAGCCAGCCACCGCTCGGTAGCCACATCCGGATTCCAATAGCGGACGTAAAAGGCACTCAACTGCCGAAATATTGGCGCTGATTGATGAGCAAAGAGTGTCGTTTCGCGAATCACGATTTAGATAGGATTAAACAACCGTCTACTAATCTTTATTTTGTTAAATACATTAGCTGCTTCTTACTCGTCAACCCCTTAATCATTTATTATAAATGAAATTTCCTAAGTTAAACAAAAACAATTTTTTTAAGCAATATCAAAACTACATTTATACGCAATAAGATGGATCTTTTTTTCTTTTATTTTAATATAAATAACAGCTTACGTAACAATAAAAGCTTTAATTCATTGTGTCAACTATGTTTATCTGAACCTGATGCTGGCATTGTTAGGTTTATGGCTAGACATCCGTTAGTGATAGCGGATTTAAATCGGTAGCAAAAATATCCGACACGTAAAATATTGTACGCCTTTGCTTGTTTGCTGCGGTAAATAAACCGTCGTCTTTTATCGGATCAAGCCGACTGCCATCGCGTGGTCAGGATGTCACGAGCCAGTGGTTAGCCACGAAATAGCAAGCCGGACCGATAGTATTGCCAGTGATATAGGGTGTTGCTAATTAATGCACGATAATGAACCTGCGCGAGACCGAAGCCGTATTAATGGATTCCAATGCCCTCGTCATAACGTGGACAACCGGTAGGTAGCAGTTGAACGGAGGATAATTGCGTTAATGGGAATATATCGGCTTACATCGACAGGCCTCGGGTTATTCCGACTTGCATTTCAAATATTTTTTAAAAATCATAAATAAAGCGGACAGACGCGTTAGCCGAATTTTTCTTTTAGGTTGAGATAAAGTTTTAATAAAATTATGTTTTTTTTAAGAATTTGATCAATGTCGAATATTGTACTAAATAAATATTAAAATTAATTATTTTTGTCACGTGCTATTGTAAGCTAGATGAGAAAAAAGATCCATTGCTTAAAAAAAAAAATGAAGAGAATAACGCTTATGCATTTATATAAAGTAAAATTCTTTTTGTTGATACTTTGGTGGACGAACACATTGTGGTAACTTTGAAATGCAGCACCTCCCATATTGTTGGAGAAATCTTAATTTATCAATCTGTACAATGCGTTATTAGAGCTACATTATATATCATATGTAAATCCGCTTGCCAGTGTGCATATGCATTTCTAACGGCAAGTATGAAGGAACGCCTAAATATACTCGATATATAAGCGCATTATAATTGGTGAGTAGGACGCAATGACCTGAATCATGTGCATTATGCCTCAGGAACGTGATTATAATTTGTGCGTACTCGCATAAATGCATAATTATCGTCCCGGAATTAATTTACACGCGCAGAAATGATTAACGATCCGTAGCCGGAGCGGCGCTTGCTTATCGATGATTATTATTTCCCTCCCTTTTCCTACGTTAAACATTAGAGCCAAAACGCGACTGGTCATTGAAGACAAGTAATTA